GATGGTAGTTTAGAATTGATTGGAACACGGAAATATGGTGAATTCTGAATATACTGAAGGTAAGACTAGATTTGCAGAACTCTAACAACCTGAATATTGAAATACTGTTTGGTGTGGTGTTACTGGTTGTAGCTATGAATGGTGATTCTTAAGTTGTGTTTGAGAATTAATCCACATGTATATGTCACATACTGATTATTTCTGTAGTGTTTATGTTTTTATAATATCATAGTGCTTTTACTGTGAGTTGAAAAAAATATGTATTATTTTTATAAATATTTTTGCTGTGTTAGATTTATAATTTCTAGGCCATGATTCACTTTGTAAGATTAAACAATAAAGGATATTTTAATGTATTACTTTCGTATGTTAGTTAGCTGTGCTTCTTGAAATTATAGTACCCAGAATGCTAAAAGAATCCTCTTTTTCTTTGTTGTCTTCTGCTGAAATGAACATGAAAATATTTGTTAGTACTAAAGGAGACAAGCAAGTTTAGTTTTTATTATATGTTATCTTTTGTAAGTCTTATATTATTTTCTCATCATGTCATCCATTTCATATAATTCAAGAACATTTTCTGAAGTTCTATTTTAAAGAAGTTTTTAGTTTATGAAGCTGTTAAAAGACGGTTTTGGGAATGTGTGCTCTCCTTTAGCAGGAGGGCGTTCCTGATTCCCACACATTGAAGACTAAGGTCTCATGTTGGCCCTTGTCAGTCATGCTACAATCCCTTAATAACTAGTAGTCATTTTATGACCAGGATTAGCTGGTGTTCCCCACTATCCCATTCCATGCTTGAAATCTTACATGTTCCATATAGAAAATGTAGAAAGACAAGTAGAAATCATATCACCTAGAAATACTTGGTCTTCTAACGTTTTGGTGTTTCTCTACCTTAAGATACATAAAGCATAGAAATTTATGGTACATATTTTATGTTCATGTTTAAAAAAAATCAGTGTGCAAATTGTAATAAGGTTCTTTGTTTCATTTAGTATACTGTGAATTTTTCCTGTTAAATAGCATTCCTCAGCTTTTTTTTAAGCATTTGAGTAATTACTAATTTGTGATAAACCATCTTTAGTTGATTTCACCTTTTAGAACATGTCTCCATATTTTGCTGTTGAAAACCATACTATTGGCCTTTCTCTCTGTCTCTCTCTCACTGTCTAACTCTGCCTGGCAAATAAAAAAAAAGAAAGAAAGAAAACCATACTATTGGGTCCGGCACTGTGGCGGAGGGGGTTAAGCCACTGCCTGCAGTGCCGGTATCCCATATGAGTGCTGCTTTGAGTCCTGGCTGTTCCACTTCTGATCCAGTTCTCTGCAGTAGCCTGGGAAAGCAGTGGAAGATGGCCCGGGTCCTTGGGCCACAGCACCCATGTGGGAGACCCAGATGAAGCTCCTGGCTCCTGGCTACGGATCAGCTCAGCTCTGGCCATTGCTGCAAATAAAGAAATAAATCTTTAAGAAAAAAAAAGAAAACCATACCATTGTAAATAATGTGGGTTAGTTTTCTTTTGTATATAGACATGTTCAATATAAGGGTATTTTATAATTATATTTTTATGTATATATATATATCTTACATATAAGATTATAGAAAGAAGTTGAAGAAATGAAAATTTCTGTTTTTGTAGCTGAAGAAAATGAGGGGTATATTTTTTTTCTTTCAACACTAATACTACCACTGTTGGTGGCTACTGTTGTTTTATTTTTTAAAAAGATTTATTTATTTATTTGAAAGGCAAAGTTACACAGAGAAGGAGAGGCAGAGAGAGAGAGAGAGGTTTTTCATCTGCTGGTTCACTCCCCAGTTGGCTGCAATGGCTGGAGATGTGCCGATCAGAAGCCAGGAGCCAGGAGCTTCTTGTGGGTCTCCCATGCGGGTGCAGGGACCCAAGGACTTGGGCCATCTTCTACTGCTTTCCCAGGCCATAGCAGAGAGCTTTATTGGAAGTGGAACAGCCAGGACTTGAACTGGTGCCCATATGGGATATTAGCACTGCAGGCAGCAGCTTTACCCGCTGTGCCACAGTGCTGTCCGAGGAGTGTACTCTCTGCTACATATATTAGTGATAGTGGAAATAGTGTTTGAAAATTGTGCTATAATGTACTTAATGTAGTGCTTGGCATACAGTACTATCTAAAACTTACTGAAGGCTTATTAAGTACCAGATCCTGTTGTAAGCACTTTATACTTATGGTAATTATTTTAAATTTTAATACATGTATATGAATATAAGGTACGTACTATTATTAATTTCATTGTATTGATGAAAAAATTGAATTATCACAAGGGTTTTTTTTATCCCTTTTTCAAAGATTTTTTTTATTTGAAAGGCAGAGTTACAGAGAGAGAGAGAGAAAGAGAAAGAGAGATCTGCCATCCACTGGTTCACTGCCAAAATGGCTGCAATGGCCGGGGCTGGACCAGGCCAAAGCCAGGAGCCAGGAGCTTTATCTGGATATTCCACATGGGTGCAGAGGCCCAAGGACTTGGGTCATCCTCTGCTGCTTTCCCAGGTACATCATCAGGGAGCAGGATCAGAAGTAGAGCAGTCGGAGCTGTAATCAGTGCCCCTATGGGATGCCCACACTGCAGGCTGTGGCCCAACCTGTTAATGCCACAACCCTGCCCTATTAGCTTAAGTTTTCTACTCAGAGTTATATGCCTAATGACAAAATGAAGATTCAAACTTCAGGTGTCTGGCTTCAGAATCTGTGCTATCATCACTCCCCAGAATGCATGCTAGCTAAGTGTTAGAGTGTTCAGTAAATGCTGGGGATCGTCATCATTATTCCTATTGCACAGTGTATAATCCAGTGTAATTATGATTCTAATACATGTACTGTGGATTTTAGAGATAATTTAGTACATCTACTCTATTTCATACCCCTTTGAGGTTTTGAGTGATGCCACAGAGTAAATGCATTTGTGTTTCTGCAGTGAAGCATGTTTATGTTTACACTGAGATTAAAAAAAAAAAAAAGGCCGTTAGTAACTTGATGTCAGTACATGCTACCAAATGAGTTATCAAAAACTTGGCTTTTAGAATTATGGTTATGTGATTGTGGATGTGTACAGCATAGTAACTGGCATTTGGAACACACTTAATATGTGTTGATGGGTAGTTCTACTAGTAGTTCTCTTCAGATAGCTGTCTACTCAAACATATAGAACATTGATGAATGTGCTAATTGATGAATGTGCTAAGGGTGCTTCATTCCTCTCTGAGAAGAGGAAGTTGCTGAAGTGGGAGTCTGTTAGTTGTTCTTCTCTAAATCAGAACAAGAGAGGGCAAAAAGTGATAGCCTTCCATGTCTATTCCCCAAGTGTAGACTTGCCTTGCCTAGTGGACCTGTCTTTGTGGCCATGTGTACTCCCAAGGGTGCAGCATTTGATTTTAGAACCTACAGAGTAGCTCAACTTGTGTTTTCACTGTTCCAGAGATCTTAGTGAAACAATGTTTGGAGTATTTTCTTCTTTTTTATTACAACCCCCTTTTGTTTTTTCAGTGAAAAAACAAATTTCTTTGAGAGAGGGAGACGATGTTTGAGAGAGCCAACACTCCCTTCTGCTAGGTCACTCCCCAAATGCCTCCAACAGCCAGAACTGGACTGGGCCAGGAATTCAGTCCATGTCTTCCACATGGGTGGCAGGTATCTAATTACTTGGGCCTTGTCCTGTTGCCTCCCAGGAGCTGTTTTGGCAGGAGCTGGAATCAGGATCCTGAGCTAGGATTTATCCCCAGGTACTCTGATGTAGGATGCAAGAGTGACTAAACCAGCGTCTTAACCATCAGGCTAAATTTCTGCCCTTCCAGCGCCCTTTGTTTAAACATGAGTTCATGAGGAACAAAGAACAATATAACGGATCCACCATTTCTCCAGGTGTGAAGAAAGACTGAAGTGATTAAATTGGAAATTGGGATACTTCCTCTTTCTTTGCACCATTTTAATTATTGAAAAACTGTAACTACAGTCATTGTAACTGTTTACATAACTAAAATATATATATATATTACTGAACATTTCTTGATAAGAGTCATAAATGGTTATAATGAGTGTGATTACAGTTTTTTGGATTTTGGAACTGAAGTTGAAAACTGTTGTCCATCCTGATTTGAACAATTTGTAGATCTCTGTGTGTGTGTGTGTGTGTGTGTATATATTTCTGTCCTGTGTAGTAGGGTAATATTTGTACTCTCCACCCCTGTCTCCAATAACAGGAAACATTGTTGTTAAATATTTGTCCTCCTCTTCTGTGGTTGAGCCTCAGCCGTGCAGCAAATCCAACTAGCAGGAGGGTCCCTGAAGATGATATAGGCAAATGGAAACAGAAAGGTAGAGGCAGAAATACAGTCCATCTGTTGAAAGTAATTATGAGGTTTTACTTGTAATTGATAGCTTGTATTTGATATTTTTTCTGAAATATACAGAAATATTAGTTCAATTTTCTTCTTGGAAGGGATATCTGAAATCTATAACTTATAAAACTATTAGTCTTCATTGTTCTGGAGGTGTGTGTGTGTATGTTAGGGGTTGTAGTATAGTAGGTAGTAGGATATAGAATGAAAAATGGGATCATGTTCAGTTTCTTTTCTGTCAGTTATGCCCTGTACAGAAGATACTGTTTTAGCAGCTGGTGTTCCTATAGCATCGTATGGGAATTTGGCATGCATTATTTAATAAGCTCTAGTTCTTTCATGTTGTGCATATCGGTCAATTTCTTAGTAACAGTAGCTGTTGAGTTTAAGTTCCAGAGCAGAAAACTTGGAAAGGAGGATGTTCACAAATAAAATTACTGGTTTGGCGAATGTTGGCTGATGCAACTTTTTACCTCACAACATTGTTTAATTTAGGATCTTAGAATTTGAACTGAATTGAAATAATTGATAATTGGTGTTTTTCTTTACAGACAGGAAAAAGGAAAATGGGTAACTAAAAAAAGTATATTTACTACATTTTAAAAGTTGCATTTCCTTTATGTTTTATAGGTTGCCGTAGTAAAATTGAAAAATGCAGATAAGGTATTTGCCATGAAAATACTAAATAAATGGGAAATGCTGAAGAGAGCTGAGGTAAGAGTCTTAAGTATTTTAAGGTTGATGGGCATTTAGATTGTTTCATTATTTTTACTGTGATAAAGCATGTTCAATGAAAATTCTTTGTGTGTGTGTTTTGCAATACTTACGTGAATTTATCCAAAAGAGGAATTCTTAGTAAGGTCAAACTATCGATCCATTCAATTATTACTTGTTTAATTATTTAAATTATTTCACCAAATTTAATTTTGTGTGTTTGGCAAAGGGAGGTTTCAGAACAGAGAAAATAGTACACCAGAATTAGCTGTATCAGTCATGAAATACATGCAATGTATTTTTTTCAAAGAGAATATATTGTGCTGTTTATCAGAAATATTGCTGTTAGCTAGTCTGAGATACTCCCGTTTGTGTTCACGCATTCTGATGTTGAAATGAGTTTAAGGATGATTTTTACATTAAGGGTGTTGTGTTGACTCCAGAACTTATCCATTCACCAAATTAAACTCCTTACTAGTACAGTTCTTGGTTTGGGAGCTAGGGGAGGGGAAGAATACATTTAAACTTTGATAGCTATTGCTTCAAAGAATTGTTTTCTATAAAAATGGGGCCCATAGCATGTGTCTTTTTTCTCACATACTTACCAATTGTGTATCAAATGATTTCTCTTTGATAATCTTAAAAGATTTTTAGTATCAGATAAGTTTAAAAGTGGTGTATCTATCTCATTATTGGTTTGTCCACCAATTATATGTTAAAAGGAAAACTTAAAAATAAATTGAGGCCAGTGCGGTGGCTTAGTAGGCTAATCCTCTGCCTCGCGGCGCCGGCACACTGGGTTCTAGTCCCGGTCGGGGCGCCGGATTCTGTCCTGGTTGCCCCTCTTCCAGGCCAGCTCTCTGTTGTGGCCCGGGAGTGCAGTGGAGGATGGCCCAAGTGCTAGGCCCTGCACCCCATGGGGGACCAGGATAAGTACCTGGCTCCTGCCATTGGATCAGCGCTGTGCGCTGGCTGCAGCACGCCAGCGGAGGCAGCCATTGGAGGGTGAACCAACGGCAAAGGAAGACCTTTCTCTCTGTCTCTCTCTCTCACTGTCCACTCTGCCTGTCAAAAAAATAAAAATAAAAATAAAAATAAAAAAAATAATAAATTGATGCTTTGCTGTATATGTGACCTGATCATTGGAATATTTGTTCATTATAAGTGAAAATTCTATTTGTTTATTATAAAAGAAAATTTTGCTTTTCTTCCTCAAATATTAGATAAGAGAAACATTGAGTTGTATCTGAAAGAATTTCTTTGAGGTGATACTTTATGGATGAGAGAACTCTTTATTCCTAATAAGAGAAGCCAAAGTGTATGTAGTCTACAGTGCATTTCCCAGTATCCATGCAATATTGCTGCATTAGATTAATTTAATGAATGCACATTATGAATATGATAAAGATTCATATGACAGCTTTGCAGAATTGTTGTTATTTATGTATAGTTCTTATTCTATTTCACCCTATTTCTATTTCACCCTATATATTATTATTTCTGTTTATCCCAATAGTCCATTAAGGATAAAATGTAAGAACATATGACTGAATATAAAAATCATAAAACTGTATAACGGTTAAAAATCTTGCTGTGGCAAGCAGAATATTTGATTCAACACTGGATTGAGAAAGTGAGTGATTAAATCTGGGGAAACTGTGATCTCCAGTAAAGCCTCCTTCATGTTGCTTACCTTCGTAGGGACTCAAATACCCTGTCTTTTTTTTTTTTTTTTTGATTGGAAGAATGAATTTATTAATCTTTTTATTCAGTAAATATAAATTTCCAAAGTACAGTTTATGGAGTACAATGGCTTTCCCCTCCCATAGTTTCTTTCCCACTTGCACCCCTCCCATCTCCTGCTCCCTCTCCCATTCCATTCACATCAAGCTTCATTTTCAATTACCTTTATATACAGAAGATCGATTTAGTATATATTAAGTAAAGATTTCATCAGTTTGTACCCACACAGAAATACAAAGTGTAAAATACTGTTTCAGTACTAGTTATAGCATTACTTCATATTGGACAACACGTTAAGGACAGATCTCACATAAGAAGTAAGTACACAGTGACTCGTTGTTGACTTAACAATTTGACACTCTTGTTTATGGTGTCAGTAATCTCTCTAGGCTCTAGTCATGAGTTGCCAAGGCTATGGAAGCCTTTTGAGTTTGCTGACTTCGATCTTATTCCGACAGGGTCATAGTCAAAGTGGAAGTTCTCTCCTCCCTTCAGAGAAAGGTAACTCCTTCTTTGATGGCCCCATTCTTTCCACTGGGATCTCACTCGCAGAGGTCTTTCATTTAGTTCTTCTTCTTCTTCTTCTTCTTCTTTTTTTTTTTTTTTTTCCCCAAGGTGTCTTGGCTTTCCATGCCTAAAATACTCTCTTGGGCTCTTTAGCCATATCCGAATGCCTTAAGGGCTGATTCTGAGGCAGAGTGCTATTTAGGACATCTGCCATTCTATGAGTCTGCTGTGTATCCCGCTTCCCATGATGGATTCTCTCCCTTTTTGATTCTATCAGTTAGTATTAGCAGACACTAGTCTTGTTTGTGTGATCCCTTTGACTCAGACCTATCAGTGTGATCAACTGTGAACAGAAATTGATCACTGGGACTAGTGAGATGGCATTGGTACATGCCACCTTGATGGGATTGTATTGGAATCCCCTGGCACGTTTCTAACTCCACCATTTGGGGCAAGTCTGATTGAGCATGTCCCAAATTGTACATCTCCTCCCTCTCTTATTCCCACTCTTATATTTAAATTTTAACTGAAAAGTGATCCCTGTTAAACACCTAAGAATAATTGTGTGTTAATTACAGAGTTCAACCAATAGTACTAGAACAAAAAAAAAATACTAAAATGGATAAAGTATTACATTGTACATCAACGGTCAGGACAAGAGCTGATCAAGTCACTGTTTCTCATAGTGTCCATTTCACTTCAACAGGTTTCCCCTTTGGTGCTCAGTTAGTTGTCGTTGATCAGGGAGAACATATGATATTTGACCCTCTGGGACTGGCTTAATTCACTCAGCATAATACTTTTCAGATTCCTCCATCTTGTTGCAAATGACCGGATTTCATTGTTTTTGACTGTTGTAAAGTATTCTATACAGTACATGTCCCATACTGTTGATGGGCATTTGGGTTGATTCCAGGTCTTAGCTATTGTGAATTGAGCTGCAATAAACATTAATGTGCAGACAGCTTGTTTGTTTGCCAATTTAATTTCCTTTGGGTAAATTCCAAGGAGTGGGTATGGCTGGGTTGAATGGTAGGGTTATATTCAGGTTTCTGAGGAATCTCCAGACTGACTTCCATAGTGGCTTAACCCAGTTTGCATTCCCACCAGCAGTGGATTAGTGTCCCTTTTCCACCACATCCTCTCCAGCATCTATTGTTGGTAGATTTCTGAATGTGAGCCATTCTAACCGGGGTGAGGTGAAACCTCATTGTGGTTTTGATTTGCGTTTCCCTGATTGCTAGTGATCTGGAACATTTTTTCATGTGTCTGTTGGCCATTTGGATTTCCTCCTTTGAAAAATGTCTATTGAGGTCCTTGGCCCATCTCTTAAGTGGGTTGTTTGTTTTGATGTTGTGGAGTTTTTTGATTTCTTTGTAGATTCTGGTTATGAATCCTTTATCAGTTGCATAGTTTGCAAATATTTTTTCCCATTCTATCGGTTGCCTCTTCACTTTCCTGAACTGTTTCTTTTGCAGTACAGAAACTTCTCAATTTGATGCAATCCCAAACGTAATTTTTGCTTTGACTAAGAGCAGGCACCATTTCAAATACCCTGTTTTTAAAGGAAGAAAATTAAAAAAAAAAAAAAAAAAACACCAGGAACTTGGTCAGTTTGTTCATGAAAGGTAGTTAAAGTTGATGTTACTGCAGCCTTTTTTTGTTTTAAAAGATTGATTTTATTTATTGGAAACAAAGAGTTAGAAAGTCTTCCACCATCTGGTTCACTCCTCAAATGGCCAAAATGGCGGGAGCTGGGCCAGTCTGAAGCCCGAAAGCAGGAGCTTCTTCTGGGTCTCCCAGATGGGTGCAGGGGCCCACGTACTCGGGCCATCTTCCACTGCTTTCCCAGGTGCGATAACAGGGAGCTGGATTGGAAGTGGAGCAGCCGTTACTTAAACTCGCTTCAAGATGGAATGCTGGTGTTAAAGTGGCGGTTTTATCTGCTACACCACAGTGCTGGCCCCTACTATAACTTTTTGAATCACTAGAACACTTTTATGTACCCCAGGATGTGCAGGCATCATGGTTTGGTTAATAGTTATTTGGAACAGCATTTCTCAGTAGGGACAGTATTTGACATTTGGGACAGAATGATTTTTTGTTGTAGGGGCTGTCCTGTGCATTAGAGGTTGCTTAGCAGCACTTCTGGGTTTTACCCCCTATATGCCTGTAGAACACACGCCAGCAACTGCAAATTGTGACAACTAATGGAGGACAGTGTGATATTTGAAGCAAATAGAGTAGATTGTGTCTTGCTCAGTACCTGAGGCATTATATTAATACCTTATTTGCTAAATATGTAAGGATAAACCATATGATATCTGAGATTGGCCTTAAAATGTTATGTATGTGCACTCACACATGTACTTGAAGCTAACAGATGGTAGTAATGAGTGAGGGTATAGATGAAACAGTATTGATCAACAGCATAATTGTTGAAGTTGAATGATACATACAGTGGGAGAGAGGGTTGTTATATGATGCTCTCTACTTTTGTGTATGTTTGAACTTTGTATCAAATAGTTTATAATCATTTTTAAAAATTAATTTTTTTACTCAACCACTTAGTGTGGGTTAGAACTGAAAATCAGTTGTCTTGACTGGTCTTAGAGTTTTTAGTTTGGAGACATCAATCAAATGAAATAATGGATATTTATTAGATGCTAGCTGGAAAGTGTAAAATTTCAGATAGCTATCATAGTAAGATAAAACTGGAAGAAGGGAGGCTCCCAGGCTCTTAGAGCTTT